TGTGACGTACAAATTTTTTGATATGTGACCTCGAAATTATTTGGGATCAAAAAATTTGACGATATGTGACCAGTAAATAAATCTGTAACTTAAAATTATGAATATGTGACCATTAATCACAAAATGTGACTTTATTATCTTTATTTAATAAATATTTTTAATTAATTAAATTTATACCTGATTTTTAAATTTTTAAACTATTTATCTTATTTTTGAATTGAGGTAAATAATACACCTTAAGGCCCCGTTCGGGAAGGATTAAAAGCCAATTAAAATTGAAAATATGACCGTTATTGGGTTCCACTCGTCTAATAAAAGTCAATAATAACGATTATATTTTTAATTTTAATCCGATTTTAATCCCTCTCATACAAGGCCTAAATATGAATTTTTCCCTTATATGTTTGTGGTAAATGGGCTCAAATACTGGGCAGAGCCAAGAGAAGAGAACATGATCCAAGTATCAATCCTTTGTCCCTTTCGCGGCTCATTCACTCACGTACTCATCAACGCATTACTAAACTGCCGTCAATGATACCAATAATTACACGCCCATTAACAAATTATAAAACGGAAAATTATAATTGGAGCCTCCAACTTTGAGAAGTTTAACACTTAGGTCACCATTAAATAAATTACTTTCAATTTCGGAGCACATGGATTACTACTTGATGAAATTCGTCCATTTTGTCATGTATGGTAGAATTCCACACACTAATATGGTTCAATAAAGCTGATAGTACAAGACACCCATGGTAGTATAAGTTTCATGTGGCCATGTACAACCAGCAAAATCCAAAATGGTTTTACCACAATAATCATAATTTAATGAAAAAATATATCAATTTCATTTATAAGTTCATGCAGTTGAGATCTGCTGTATAGTTTGTTGTTCACCCAAATTCAGATTGACACATTATGAAAAATTAAATTGATATTAAGGTTGAAAAAAATAAAATTGATGACTAACTTTAGTTTTTAATGATGTGCCAATTTACAATTTGGTTGATAGCAAAATGGACAGCATGTCTCAACTCTGTGCATCATTTTAGTGAACTTTTAAATCCAAAATACTTAAAACAACTGTCTCGAAAATTAGATAGGTTAATTTTAGAGTCTAGACATGTTGTTCACAGTTCTCGTCCCTTAAATTAAGAGCATGTTTGATGTCCCCTTTTTTGTTCAAGATGCATTTTGAAACAGTATTTTGATAGAGAATGTGTGGTTAAAAAATAAAGAAAAAATCGAGTTTGAGTCTACTATTATTTTATTGAAAAATGTATTGTTGAAGATTAGACAAAAAATGTATTTCGAAAATAATGTGGACTAAACAAGGGCTAAAAAAGAACAATACTGTCCATTAGTACTAATTTATTTTATCACAAAAGTAAGTTTGATCAAGTATATTATAAATTTAATAAGTGCCGGACAAGGGCTAAGCTCGGCCAAACATGTCGATCATGAAATAGAAAGTTTGGCAATGCATATGCCATAAGAAATTGAACAGAGACCTAAATATTGCATTTTCTTTCTAATTTTGAGGACCACAACTGTAATTTCTTGCGACAAATCTTCTCCTACGTCCACAAGATGATCATGATTGTAAATTGACGCCCAATCACATTTTTTCGTCATTTTTGCCACACTTAAACCATGATTGACATTTGACAACTTTATTTACACTGTTTGAAATAGTACAAATTCTTATCATTAATTTAAACAGTACTTATTCAAATCAATGACATCGATTTTTACACCTCAAAGAGAGTCAAACTAGTTATCCATTTTTTCATAAATACATCATAATATAAAGATGATTAACATTTATTTATTATCACGCTTATAACCTTAACTTTTTTTTTCTCATCGTATTCTTATTTTCAACATTTTATTAATCAGAAAAAATCGTTCTATTTTCATCCAAAAGTTTTGTTAGCGAGTTTTAAAATGAGGGCTGAATGCTTTAGTCCATGTTTGTCATCAATTTTATCAAATATTGTTTGCTACAGTAAACAATCTCCACCACATATTCACTCAATAAAATATTCTACACACAAACCAATAAAATTACTTTACTTTTCAACCACACATTCTCCAAAAAATACTATTCAAAACTCTGTTTCTTCTCCCAAAATGGGAGACAAACAAGCACTTAAGTAAACAATCTCAACCACATATTCACTCAATAAAATATTCAACAAACAAATAAATAAAGTTATTTTACTTTTAAACCACATATTCTCCAAAAAATACTATTCAAAACTCTATTTCTTTCCCAAAATGGGAGACAAACAAGCACTTAATTGCATTTTTATACAATTATTCGTTTTGTTTGTTTCAAAAAATAAAAATAAATAAAATAAATGAAAAAGCGAGTCTTTTTACTTTATTTTAAATAAAATTTTGGAGAGAAATTATAATCACGAACATTTATGTTAATTTGAGAATTAAAATAAAAAAAGAGAGATACAAATGTGATAATGTATAAAAGTTACGAACCTTTTATGTAATTTAGTTATTAACTATGCTGTAAATATATTTAGTGCTTGTTTGGTATGGATTTTTGAGAGAATAATTGATTTTGAATAGTGATATGATGAGAAATGTGTGGTTGAAAAAGAAAAAAAAATTATTGATGTAATGAAAAATATTATTTTATTGAAGAATGTGTTATTGAAAATAGAAATTGATTTAAACAGCCTTAGCCCTGTTATAAAACTACCCTTCATATGTCCAATATTCCATTCATATCCCTTCGTCGTCCTCCTCTCCATGGCAGCTGTACACCCGAACCCGGACCCGAATTTCCTCTCCCACGTCCTCCAGCCATACCTAGAGCAACAGCAACAATTTCCACCCGACCCGTCGGATGAAGAAACTGCAACTGAAACCGATAACGAAAGTACCGCGTCTTTTACTAATAATTCAATTGTCTCGATCCCGAATACGAATTCGGGTTTGACTGAACGGTCGAAGCCAGTGCTCCTCCATGTGTCGTTCAACCAGGACTATGGATACTTTTCTGCCGGCACCGATCGCGGGTTCCGTGTATACGATTGCGATCCTTTTAGCGAGAATTTTCGACGTAATCTTGATGGTAACGGTGGAATCGGCATTGTTGAGATGCTATTCCGTTGTAATATACTTGCCCTTGTCGGCGGTGGTGATTCCCCTCAGTATCCGCTTAATAAAGTTATGATATGGGATGATTATCATAACCGGTGTACCGGGGAGCTTTCTTTCAGGTCGGAGGTTCGTGGGGTTCGGTTGAGGAGGGACCGGATTGTGGTTGTCCTTGAGCAGAAGATTTTTGTGTATAATTTGGAGGATTTGAAACTATTGCATCAGATTGAGACTATTGCGAACCCTAAGGGGCTATGTGCGGTGTCGCACGTGGCTGGATCATTTGTGTTGGTGTGTCCAGGGCTGCTGAAGGGACAGGTTATGGTGCAGCATTATTCTTCGAAGACGACTAAGTTTATTATGGCTCATGATTCGAGGATCGCCTGCTTTACGCTGTCACAAGATGGAAATTTGCTTGCCACTGCCAGCACTAAGGGGACCCTGGTTCGAATTTTCAATACACATGATGGGACTTTAATGCAGGAGGTAACTTTTTGTTCACAAGTCTGATGCCTTTTGTTTTTCGAAATTTTGTGTAACTTTGAGTTCTTGTGATGGCATAATTTGTTTTGTTGGATGATCAACTGCTTTGAGCAGACTTTGTTGCTACAGAAAATGGACTCTTGATAACAAGGGAAAAAAATCAAGCTTCTTTTGGAGGAATCAAAGATGAAATGCTATTGTTGGCGAAATTGGTTTCTTACGGTGGTTGTGGAACATGAATTAACGTACAATCTGTCTGTGGTCTCTGTCTTCCCAAAAATATATTTTTTTTAATAACCGTGGATGTTCGGACCAGCTTGCGCGCACCTCGACGAAGTTCACGAGGTCCAGAAGTTTTACAGCCGAGTGCTCACCTCAGAGACATGAGGGGACGCGAATTGGTGAGGATCGGGGAGCAAACAATCTTTCCAAAATAAATAAGTACACAAAAAAGGAGCTCATGTTATTTTAGGCAATTTATCTTAAGATCTAGTTTCATGCTGGGAGGGGTTTGTAAAATATTTTGTTACTTATGAGCTGATATGGGTTGTAATTCAGATAGGAAAGATTTTAACTCCAAAACCACAATTCTACACCAACAAACATACTGAAAAAAATTTAGTAAATGCAAATATGGACAATAGAATGAGAACCACCAAGAGGCCAGAACCCTATTTTGAAGATACAAGACATTGAATCAAAATATGCAAGCTCCACATCTGCACAATTGATCACAACAAATGGTAAAACCACATTCACTCCTACTGAAAATTTACCATGGAGTCAAATGTTGCTTCATGATGCCTTGCAATTTAGTAAGTTTCAAGCTAACTGGTGCTAAGTTCATCCATCTTTTTGTAGATAGTCAAGGCTAGTGCCAGATCCTGTCTAAGAGTACATTTGCACTGTGACAAACTGATATATTGTGATGTATCAATAAATTTTTCCCACTCCATTTGATCTAGAGGTCTTATGAAATTTAGTACTTTTCAAGCTTGTAAGATTATATCATTTTTGGTTCCTTTTGTAAGTCACTATTTATAGGGATCATGTCACTCTTGCGAAATCTGTGATTGGTTGGATTCAAAGCTCACTTTGAAAGCTTTTTATAATATTTGGGATCCATGAAAGGAAATCTATGTTGCTTGAAGGTTTTTCACAATGTTTATTATAATGCTGTAGGGAAGGGAGAGGGAGAGAGACTTTGTGTGATACTAATGCTAATGTTGTAATCATATGAAAAAGTGTGCTTGTAGATGTAACAGCTCCCATTGGTTTCTCAGAAAAAAGATTGCTGCTGGTTTGTTCCAATTTGGAAAAGCTAGTCTGAAATAGAAGGCATGATTTTGATGATATCAATCAATCCTTCTCCTTACGGTACTATCAGGGAGGTAGAATTTTGTCCATCACTGATGTTTAGAATCCAAGAATTTGTTCTTGTTGAAGTTAATAACTCAGATTCCAAGAACCTCTCCTGCAACTTGGGGGGTTGTGTTTTTATAGGGCTTTTTCTTTGCACGTCGTCTTTAAAACTTTATATCTGTGGTCGTTTTATTTTTTGATGAAATCCATGGGCAACTAGTTGGAAAGGAAAAACAGTTGTTCTCTTTTATGCTTTTTTGTTTCACAAGTATTTGGAATGCGTCTTTAGCGATGAACCTTAAACTACCTTTTTCTTTTGAAATGCACTTGTACTTAAGTTTGTGCATTCGAGATATAAATCTCTCAAAGCTCTTGGAAATATGATGAAGGTAAGGAGGGGTGCAGACAGAGCAGAAATATACAGCCTAGCGTTTTCACCTACTGCCCATTGGCTGGCAGTCTCGAGTGACAAGGGCACCGTTCATGTATTCCGCCTTAAAGTTAATGCAGAAAACCTTGGAAATGCGAGGTCAAGCAGTCCTCCAGATTCGTCTTCTGCCATGACTTCACCAAGGTCATCACTCTCTTTCATCAAAGGTAACTCATATGTTTAAATTAAGCCTGATCTATCACTGTGTTTAGCCTCAGGTGGAATGTTATTGCTCATTAAACAGATACTTTATAAATTATTTACATAAGGCATCAATCGTCTGATAAAGTGGAATGATAAGACTGGCTGCATCCCATTATCTGATGTAGGAGTAATATCAAAAAAGCCTTGTCATGGATATAATAGAAACACTAGATGAACCATCATATACTATGGGAGACGTGTAATATTACTGCTTAGAAAAGGGGAAAGATAAAGTAAGTTCAATTAAGATATATTTATCCCTAAATCTGCTCATTGTGAACTGTGTTTGTCAAAGATCAACTGATTGCATAAAAGGATTTGTCTATCGAATCTCTTCGTACACCCTCTTTTGCTTTGGTCAATCTGATTAGCTAGTTGATGAAGCAATAGCTTTCCAAAACAATGATCAGTAGCTAGTCCGAGAGGATGATCAATCACACTGGGATTGAGACATGAAAACTTCTACTGGAGGCAGCAGTGGGGAATTTTCCGGAATGGACAATGCATCAATATCTGATATCTCATTTTTATTGACTTTGCCATTCTAGGTCATCTAGTTTCTCTCTCTGGGGATGGGGTAGGTGGGAGGTTTCATCTCTCTCTGTGGCTATACGAACACGGCATATGGAAGATATCCTGCCTTGCCTCAGGGTGACTAATTGGTGTTCTGGCAGTTTTTGTTAGCCTTTGGGCTTGAAATCAAATTTTTGTTTTGGCAGGAGTACTCCCCAAGTATTTTAGCTCTGAATGGTCAGTGGCTCAGTTTCGTTTAATTGAAGGTCCACAATATATCGTTGCATTTGGTCAGCAAAAGAATACAGTGGTCATTATTGGCTTGGATGGAAGGTCAGTTAAGGAAACACTACCATATGAGTTCTGTTGGTTGAAATTTCCTTTTTTGAAAGAAACTTTCGGGTCTTACCTACCCATCTTGCATGATGTGTAAATCAATCATTGATTTGTGACTGAAATTGTATGCAGTTTTTATCGGTGCAAGTTCGACCCAGCCTCCGGTGGAGAGATGACACAGCTTGAATATCATAATTTCCTTAATCCTGATGAAGCTTTCTAGCAGAGTTCTGGATAATGTAAATCTATCCGTGGTCATACATGCGTGGTCTTATATGTTTTCTGCAGTTGGCCCTTTTTCCCTGCTGGTTTCTTGGATCGCCATTTTGTAAATATACTGGTGCAAATGTAACCGTCTCAAAGTTGCTAATAGAGATATTATATTTGTGGGCAATGCCATTTGTACAGCAATAGTTGACCGAAATGGTTGACAATCACTTACAATGGTGGGCTTCACTGTAAATAAAAAAAAATTTACCCACCCATACGTGTGAGAGATTGTCAACAAACTCACCCCGCTCTCGCTTGTACGACTAGCACAGTCCTATATTTATTTACTCTTTAAATTAGGCTATTTACTTTCCAAATTGGAGGTTTATTTTGGACTCTGTTCGATGGTCATCATTTTCAGAAAAATGAGTTTTGAACTGTAATTCTTTGGAGAGAGTGTTGATAAAAAGTAGAAGAAAATGTTAGATTTACGTGTAAAATATTTTATTGTTTAAATGTGTGATTAAAAATGAATATGAAAATTAAAAAGTTTTGAAATAATAGTTGTCAAACAAGGCTTAGGACACATAAATGAGGTTTGATTTAATAATTTTTTTTTCATATTTTTCTATTTAATTTAGACTAGTTTATACATAACTCGAGGGAGTTTATATATGGTAATATTTAGACTTTGATATGGATCAATTGATATTTTCGATCTCCTATTCTCACTATTCTTTTCATATTCTTTTTCTTTTTTCAATCTTTTTTTGTACAGTTGTGTTCTACATCAATGTGAAAACATATTGAAATGAAATTGATGGACTTTCAAACCGTTACTTTTTGTTTGCGATTTTTAAAAGAGATAATTGCAGTAAAAGTCTCTAACTTTTGAAACTTTAGCAAAAAATTTTAAGTATGACCGTGTTTTTAATATTTTAAAAATGAACAAAAAAATAACTTTTCATTTATCACATTAAATAATTAAATAAAAAAATAAGAAATTAAAAAAAACACTCACATTGATGTCTTCTTCTTTCAACCCTAAACTCATTTCCACCACAAACCCAAAATTCACACCCCCACCTCCATCTCAAACTCAAATCTCATATTTTAAATTCGTCACAGCAACCATAAAAAACAATTAACCAAAAATCAAAATCGAAAAATTCAATTACCCAAAATCAAATCGAAAAATTCTGAAAGTAAGTGGAAGCTTTTGGTAGAACAATTAGCCAATGTTTTCAGAATTTCTACCAAGATAGGAATTTCAGAATTTTCTACCAAAAGAAGACGATTCAGGAGCCAAAAGGAAGTTGGAGTCAGCTGTTGATGTAGAAGTGCGAACAATCAAATTATATCGAACTCCTGCTATTGATGCAGTAGGTTATGGAAGCTCGAATGAAAGGGAAATTAGCAATCATATTGAGTAGTCCAAAAGCTTAAAACTTGGGAAAGGTGATGTACGAGCCCTTTACAAGTATTTTTCTCGAGTGCAGCTTGCAGACCCAAATTTTTTCTACATTTTGGATCAAAATGATGAAGGATATGTAAGGAATGTGTTTTGAATTGATTCTAGGTCAAGGGCTGCCTATTTTGGATCTACTATTTCAGAATTTTTCCATTTTTTCAGAACTTGGGAAAGCTTCCACTTATTTTCAGAATTTTCGATTTGATTTTTGGTTACTTGTTCTCTATGGTTGTTGGGATGACTTTGGAATATGGGATTTGGGTTTGAGTTTGCAATGGAGGTGGCGGTGGTGAGGATTTTGGGTTTGAGTGGATGAGGGTTGAGAGAAGAAGACGCCGGTGTGTGCGTAATTTTTTTATGGGATAATTGCAGCAACAGTCTCAAATCTTTCAGATTTTTGCGCACTTTACCCTAATCTTTGTTTTGTGCCAACGGAGGTCCCAAATCTTTCAAAAATATGCGTCGGAGGTCCTTTCCATCCATTTTACTGTTAATTTGACCCAAACAGTGAACTTTGACTAATTTCGACCAAATTAGGAGGGATAAAATAGGAACTTTACAATTAATGTATTATAAAATATTGACCAAAAAACCCAAAAATAAGGAAAAAAAATTAAAAAAACCAAAAAATTAAGAAAATAAATAAAAATGAAAAAGGTTGTCTTCCCACGCCACCCACCCCACCCCACCACACCCGACTGAAATCGGCCACCAGCACCGCCACCTGCCATCGCCGACCACCACCATTGCCAACCAATACCAATTTGTAAATTACAATTTCAACCTTCTCCACACCATTCCACAATTCCAACCCCTACCAACATCTTGATCCCAAAATCAAGAATGCAGAAAGAATTTCGAAAACAAGAGTTGAAAAACAGGAAGCCAAACCTTTTCCAACATATAAAACCCAGATGAAAACAACTGCGGAAACAAGTCATTGTTGTCCCCTCAAGTCCCATATTTCACCACTCATCTCCCCCCTCCTCTCATCCGCACAAAATCAT